GCCCGCAGCCCCGAACTCCTCGGCGCCGCCCCCTGACGCGGGGCTGCCCTCATTTATTTTTTTCCTTTATGTACTTTTTACAAACTTGACAAGTTTTTCTTCACATTGAGAGCTCTGATTTCAACTGACTCCTGTGTGCCAGCCTCTGCCCAGACCCCTGCTCAGCCTGGCGCGAAGGCTCTGGGCATTGGGAGCTCGCGGGCCAGCGGGTGCGGTAGGTGCTGCTGGATAAGGAACTTGCAGAGCTGTTATAAAGATAACCCCAGCAGCCACAAGCTGCGAGAGATAAACCAGGAAGGAGAGAGCTGGTGTGACAGGGGCAGCCCAGGGGGAGTGCGCACTGGGGACACACTCATGGGAGGAGCGCCCAAGGCGCCACTAGTGCATTCAGATGTGTTCCCGCAGCTGGCCATGATCCCCTTCGCTCGTGCTGCGCTCACCAGGCACTGCAAATGTAAGGCAGAGACTAGCCGGCTTCGTGCGCGGACGCTGGCCCAGATGTGCGAAAGTGTTTGGGACTGCTCCGCTCAGTGTCGCAAGACCTGCCAAAATGAGGCAGTTTCGTTACACGAGAGGCAGATGCAGGAAGCCGCTGCTGAGCGGGCCGTGCTGTGGCAGGAGCCCCAAACCACGCATCCTTCCAGAGCAGAGCCACAAGGAGAGGAGGGGAAGGCCCTGTGGCTCATGGTTATTTGTGCCAGCGACACTAGAACACCAGTATTGTTAGGTTTCCTAGGGCAAAGCATGTAAGAGAGGGCAGAAGTCTTGGACGCACATTTTTATTGGTGATGCACACACACACACATAGCCTGCCAGGGCTGCCAGACTGCCCATCCTTAACTGAGGAGGGAAGCAGGTCATCTCAAATGTACGCTCACAAAGTTTTCCGCACTTTAAGTGAAATTAATCTATATACCCTGTATTTCTAAACCAACACATAATGAAATCATGTCTCCTTATGTACCGAAAATGTCTTGTGGCACAGTATAGCATTTATACATAATACATAATACATGTCCATTAAAAAAAAAACATGTTCTGTACCTTTCTTCAATCCTTTAATCATTGTTTTTTAAACAACCTAATATAGAGATACCAGTGTACTCCACTAGTATTTTTGAAAATTGGTGTTTAGTTAAAGAATATATGTGAAGCTTCCAGATTTATGTTGAAATGCTACAGACCACAAAGTATCAGTTTCACATGCTTGTTAGTTCCATGCATGAAATTGCAAATTATTGCGTATAATTTCACAAAAGGATTTTTAGTCCCCAAAACTTGTCCATTCTTTCCAGTTATATGAGCTGGTATAATAAAATGTATCTTGTCTTCCTGCAGGCTACATAAGCACAAATATTTCTTAAGTCATCTTTATGTCTCTAAACGTAATCCTCCAAATTGCAAAATAATTAGAGCAGTCAATAACAAGAACAAACATAGAATTTTATTGAAATGTGAACAAGAGAGGAGTTTAGAGCTAACCATGAACAACATGCTTTTTTAAATAGCGCTTAAGACACTTTAAAGCTTACTAAGTGTTAAATAAGCAAAACCAGAAGAAAGTGCAAATAAACAAACTAGATCAAGCGAAATGAAGTGTACTTTGTGGAAAATCTGTAATATACAAGGCTAACCCTAACCCTACCTGCATTTCTAGTTTCCTTTTCTTCCACCTCTTTTGCCTATTTGATACGGACGTAGGAGAGACACAAAGTCAGAGGGATTGCATGTTTACCTGGCGGTGGGGACTCCGCCTTGTGCCGATGACCGCTGAGGACTGAAGTGTGAATTTAACGATCTGCCTGGGACATGAACCCCCACTGGCCTAAAGGCGAGACTGGCTTGTTCGGGAGGGTAGCCCGACTCTGGGATTACTGAAGCCTTGCTTTGCATCACTGTGTGCAGCTGCCATGGGAGTTCATGATCTCTCCTCTTTTCCAGAGCTCCCTCGCCTAGAGCGTATTCTTGCTTTTCCAGTACAGCACCAATTCTCTCAGAGTGATGTTCTCTCTTAGCACTTTTCAGGACACAATATGCACTTATTTCTTTCTTTCTGCTCCTGCGCTGTCAGGTATAGCACTAGGATGACAGTGCCTTGGACGACCCGTAAAACATACACACAGAGTTTTCATTACTTGCTTAGAAGAGGGAGGAATGGAAATCCATACTCCTTCCCATACTATTCCTTCAGTAGACAGCTACTCCGCAGCTTCTGTCACTGTTTGAGAGCAGCAGCCTAGAGACAGTACATGGACATTTATCCAAGCAACGCATCATATCAGCATAGCTAGTTATTTTGTGCTTTTGATGTAACATTATAAATGCAGGAAATGTTCCTAATTCCCAGTGATAAGCGGCTGACTTGTCAGAGCTATAGCTGCAATGGAGTTAAAGCCTCTTCTACCAACTACATCTTTATCTGTTTTTCTAAACTCGGCTAGTCATTTTCTGAACCTTAGAACATGACATTCCAAGGGAGTTACAGTCTCCCTCCAAACATTCGGAGAAGCTCTCAGAAGCCAGATGGCTGTTTATTGCATAAACACACAGAATTGCTGAGATACCTCAGCCATGCTTGTCCTAGTGGCTAACTTAACTGATCCTTGTGAAAAGGCCTTACCAGGAGTAATAATGACAAGTGGCCTTAATTAATTTGTGTTGGACCTGCACCAACAAGCCAGGATGCTGCTTTTACTCTCTTGGCACTGAAGTCTATGTCAAAGAGGCAGCACCTTCTCACTTTTGCTGTTGAAGACCTTGCTGATTTAGCTTTACAGGAATTGTGGCTAGTGAACAGGACCATTGCTAAAATAATCTACTTACTCTTCACCCTTGGGAGAGCTCTTGCTGAGGTGAGTAAGGCAGGGTCTAAAATTCTGCGTTGGTTTAAAGGCCAGACATTATTATCTATGCAGTGAAAATCATTATTGTGCTTTAATTCATGGCATTTTCCTTCTAGAAATTTTGAAGTATTTTTCTGATACATTTGAAGTCCTTTGTAACAATTTTTGAAAATCATGGGACAGTGGGCAGTAGTTGGAACCGCTAAAGCACCATTATAAAATTTTATTGCTTGTGCTTTGCATTTGGCCTGTGCTTTCTTATTTTCTTCCCCACTGCTCAGCAGCCTAGTCAGTGAGGATGCATTAGAAAAAGACAGGATGTGCACTCTATATATGCTTTCTGCTCAAAATCAGAGCAAATCTCACCAAAAAAAAACCAGCCAGCGAGCCAGGCTTTTCTAAGCATTGACTGGAAAGTTCCTTCTATATGAGTAAAGACAGAACAGCCTTTCTGGGATGCAGGCTTTGTTTCTCTGAAGAGGTCATGGTGAGGTGGAAAAAAAAATAGTGATTTTGCAGAAGTACAAATGCTGGAAGCATGCTGCTTTGGTCCACGAAATAGCTGTTTAAAAGACAGTTATAAACATCAAGCCAGCTTTTTAACCAGTAAAAAGAAGGGGCAGCAGTGTTACAAAGCACTAGCGGAAATACTGTGTCAACAGCAGGGACTTTCCTAGATCTCTGCTCCGACCGTGCAACTGTGCAACATCCACATATCCCAAAGTTAAGAATAACTGTGGCTCCAGAATGTAACTTCTGCAGTATAAGTCTGAATGTGGGCCAACTGAACAGCCAAATAAACATGTTAATATACCCGTGATTGTTTTCCCTCATGCTCCCATCTGGCAAGCAACTGTTGCTGGAGACTGGCTGGTGGGCCTGCGATCCCACAGACACTGCTCCCCACTCCTCCACTCTGTATAACCCAGATAACCCAGAGCTCTTGAGCCATTTTCTGGAATATTAGCTTCCCCTTTCATGCTTCCTTTTTCCTATTCTTGAGAAGAGCTTATTCTTCCCTGAGAATGTAATGTTCCTAAGACTGTGATACTCCTTCCCCCAGTCACCCAAGAAGAAGGAATTTGTACGCCCCATTTACCAAATACGTTGTTAAGCTGTATCAACAAAAGCAATTGTAGCATTGTATCTACTCACTCTGCCAGGGGAATATCTAGTTTCTTTTATTAATTTAAACACTCTATTCTTGCAGTTCTTTTGTAATCTTTATATTCAAAGCAAGCATTCGTACTTATCTGTGAACAGGAGGATGAATTGACAGAAAAGTCTTTTGCTGCTCCTGAAAGTTGTCACCATTTTGTAACTTCAGTAAAGCAGAAATAAGAGCTCAAGTTATTAATGTTTAGATGCCAAATCTAGCAACAAGAGAGCTTTAAGTACTCCTCTCTGAATATCTAAGACTGTGACAAAGATGTAAACAAAGATGTTCCTTCAAATATCTCTATTGATAAAGTAACAGGACTTATCCAGAGCAAAGAATAAAGAAACTATGTAGAAAATTTGGGTGATGTCACCTACCTGGGAATTTTGCCAAGAATAGCAAAGATCCCTTCAATTTTGTTTGCAATATACATTTGAAAGTACACATGCATTAACATCATGTACATATATTTATATTTTAGATATGCTTATGTATTTTTTTCCTGGGCAACTAATGCCAGCAAAAACAACACAAGAATGGGCTTTAAAGTTTTTATCTTCTGAAGTATGCATTTAAAGCCTAATTATTTGAGGCTTTATCTGCAAACTCTGGAAAACAGGACTGTAGTAGTAAGCACCAACTGAAATTTTAAGTAATATAACTCAGAATTTCACAGCAATAGTTTCTTATGCCAATTTAATGTAAAACCAGAAACTATCAGTTTCTATGAAGAGTGTTTTTTTTTTTATTTTACTTGCTCATAAATTGGAAGTTAAAAGCACTTAAGTTAGCCCTACTTTTGTTTTTGGCTAGTATTTTTGTTTTTGTTTTCTTGTAACAATGTCACACTTTGAAGCCCATTGAAATGATTACTGGTATCATGTGCACTAGACTTTTTTTCTCCCCCTTAATGGGAACCATATGAGCAATATCAGAATTTCTCCACTTTACAAATACTCTTTAGCATACTGAATTATTCAGATTTTGTAAGAGCTTTTCAAATATCTAATTTACATGAAAAAGAGAAAGATAAATGTTGCAGAATGATCAGATATGGACATCGAGCTGTAGACTTACAAGGTTAGATTTAATGCATTTATTCTGAGTTCATCTGTACTGGGTACTGCACATTAGTACAGCTCTGCCAGCATGAGCAACCAAAACTTGTTTGTTGCCTTACGTATGAGATCTCCTGGCAAAGCAAACCACTAGCTTTTTCTAGTGGTTGAGTTTTGCATTTCAAAATTTAACTTGAAATAAAAGTTGTTGACGCAGGTGGCCTGCAACCAAGCATGCAGAAATTTGCCTCTGGTTCAGGTATATGCCATTTTATGAAATGTTACTATAACAAGCTGTGGTCAGGATTTTCCTCCCTTGAAAAAAAAATTACATATTTAATCTGTGGGGCTATAATAGGTACAGAAGTCAATGCAGTTGTTCACAACCTGAAAAAGCACAACCATAACCATTTGCTGACTCTGATTCTCTGGTGTGTCCCAGCCCTTTTATAAGTGGGATGGCAAACACATCCAGAGAGGCACTCAGGCCTGGCCATTTTGAATTCACTATTCTTTAGTACCTTCGGAAGTATTTTAAATTAAACAGAATCACATCCCTCCTATGCCAGGATAAAAATGTCTGCACGTGACCTTCCATGATGGAACATCTGCTGTTATCTGTAGTTTAGCAACACACTGTGTATTTAGAATAATATGATTTCTTACATAAAAAATGTGTCTGCTTCATCAAAGGCTGGGGGATCAGTGCTGGTGAGTGCCTGCTGGTCGCTCTAAACTGCCACATTTTTCAGCGAGTGGATGCTGATGTGTAATTGTTGATTTAGTACACACTGTGACAAGCAATGGCTCAAAAATAACAGTTACTGGAAAAGTAAAAGCATCAGCTGATCTTCATGAACTGTATATATACTATATAACAAACACTCTTCTAATTAAGTCTTTACACTTATAGATTGAAATGTCTTGCTTCAGGGAATTGAAACATAAAGTGAAACATTAAAAAAATAGCATAAAATGTCAATATAAAAGTAAGGATGTCAAGAAAAATATGTCAAAAACATTAAGCATGGGGAGGACTTTTATAGATACAATTAAGTGCGAAGATCCATAAAATTCCCAGCTCTATCCAAACTGGGAAGTTTGGGAATGTGTCTGCTTTTGGTGTTATCACTTCTATCAGAGATCTGTTTTTTTCAGGACTGCAGGGTACTTCTGAAGAACAACAAAATATTTATTGTACCTTTTCAGAAAAAAAAGAAGAGCAACTTTTTGTCTGTTTCTCTCTGTCTACTCTGGCCACTAAGGGAAGATGAATGATCATGTGGAAATTGGACTTTTCCTTTAAAAGGATAACTTTAGTCTCATTGGCCTATTTTCATTTAATGGCTCTTTATCAATAAAGATTCTGTTATCTGTCTTGAAACAATAAATTGCTGTGTTAACAGCTATGCAAAATACTTTGCATACATCAAAAATAATGGATAGAAGATATAAGGCATATTATGAAAATCAACTGCAGCAGTTTTCCCTTAGCTCTTACTTCTAGTCATTAAGTTTTTTAAAAGGGAACAGGGAAAGGAGAGAGGAGAACACAGAAGCAGAGATCTGTGCTATGCCAAGAAGAGGGAGGAAAAAAAATGAGAGAGATTTCTTTCTCTGTTTTAAGCACTGATGCACCTCTGCTTTCCTTTGTTGCTGGACTTTTGACTATCTGAGAAAAGCGGTTTTCCTTTTTGCATATAATTTTCTTTTTCACACTAAACAGCTTTGGACTTGTCTTCATTAACAGAGATGAGAAATTCTTAGTGAAAGGAAGTTAGTTACAAATAACTAAGCCATGCACACTCAGAAAAGAAATTTCTGCATTAGTATGGCAGTTCCATACTACAATTTTCCAGTGAAAAAAAGGTAAGTAAAGGTAAATACTTGAGTTTGTTACTACGACTGTAGATCATCATCATCAGTGTGAGATGAAAGGAGTAAAAGACAGAGAGAGAGAGAGAGAGAGAGAGAGAAAGAGAATAAGCATTGGTTGTCCCTCTAAAGATCTCTTCCACTAAGGCCACTTGTGGCCTGCATTTGAAAATGAAGTCCAGATTCTGTTTTTTTTTGTTTTGTTTTTTGGGTGTTTGTTCTTTAAATGAAGGGTTGCATTCTGCAGAATCTGAGCATACCACATGGGGTGCCCGTGCCTTATGTAGGCTGCGCACACTGATCAGGTTGGGTGTCTGGTATGCTTGGCTCAAACTGAACAATTCCTGAGCGTGACTTAACCATGAGGCAGCAATGTGCCCTCGTGGCCGAGAAGGCCAATGGGATCCTGGCCTGCATCTGGAGGAGCGTTGCCAGCAGGTGGAGGGAGGGGATCCTGCCCCTCTGCTCAGCTGTGGTGAGGCTGCACCTGGAGTATTGGGTGCAGTTCTGGGCTCCACAGCACAAGAAGGACATTGAGCCTCTAGAGAGGGTCCAGCAGAGAGCCACAAAGGTGATCAAGGGACTGGAGCATCTACCTTATGAGAAAAGACTAAACAAGCTGGGCCTGTTTAGCCTGGAGAAGACTGAGAGCAGATCTGATCAATATGTATAAATACCTGAGGGGAGGATGTAGGGAGAATGGGGCCAAACTTTTCTCGATGGTGGCCAGTGACAGAACAAGGGGTAATGGGTAAAATTGAAACACAGGAAGTTCCATCTCCATACGAGGAAGAACTTTCCTGTGAGGGTGACAGAGCACTGGCACAGGCTGCCCAGAGAGGTTGTGGAGTCTCCTTCTCTGGAGATCTTCAAAACCCGTCTGGATGCCACCCTGTGCCACGTGCTCTAGGTGTCCCTGCATGTGCAGGGGGGTTGGACTAGATGATCTCTAGAGGTCCCTTCCAACCTCAACCCTTCTGTGATGACAGGGGAAGAATCAGAGAAGTGCTTGTTTTATTTATAGGTGTGTGTCTGTGTGTGTTTGTATTTTAAAGCAGTAAATACATTTAAGTGATTAATACTTATCCTAAAGCTAAAGCAAGATAGTCAGAAACCCTGAGCCATTTTTTACGCCGCACATCAAAAAGAAAGAGAAGATTTTATCTAAGTGGTTTAATGCTAATTCTGCTATTTTCATATTACATATAAAATTTATCTATACAATTTTACTTACTTTAACGTTAAAGTCTGCATTAAAACTGCACGGATAAAACTAATTAAGATAGAATACAGAAGATAAAGATTATCAATAGATCCACATCTTTCTTCTTGCTGTCCTGTACTTCAATCCAGTTGCTGAACAGGAGCAATAAATGCTATACTCAGCAGGATGAGCAACTGGTGAATACATGAAAAGGCAATTATGGACTACCGATAAGTGTACCATGTTATACCAGAATTTAAAATAATAACAATAATAATAAAACTCTTATGCTCCTAGAGTAGCATAAAATGGTAAGATAAAACACTAGTTGAAAGACAGGAGTCTACTAATTCCTATATATGAAGTCCTTAAATAATATCCACATGGAAATCTCTGTAAGTGTTGTTTGTATCTTAAGAATATTCAAAAACTCTCCCTCCTTTTTTACAAGAAACTCTTCCCATTTTTTCATGGTTTGAACACTCCTCTTCTTCTGCATTATTACAGACCATTTGGTAAACGTAACAACTGAATCTCCTGTTCGGTTTCTGTTCTATATGTAATACAATGTCTCTGTCAAAGTAAACTTCATGACTGTAAGTCTGAAATGAGAAAAATGATTTTGATTTCAGTCTCCACTGCCACAACTTGTGAAGAAAACTAACACTGGTTACCTCCATGATCAGACAGGAGTTTTAAGTAGACAGCTGATGTTTCAGATAAAGACAAAATTTTAAAAGTTTGAGAGGTTTCACACTTGTTTTAGGATTTCAAATTTAAGTGCAATTCAGAGCATCCAAGTTTAATTAAGATCCTAAGTTGTCTATACAATCAGTGATAAAAGAGGTGTTTCAGGGAACAAGTCAGATGATTGAAGTTTAATACCTAAATTTGAACTGTATGAGCAGCCCACCACATTTCTCCAAACAGAATGTAGGGAGGACCTGGCAAGTTCTAAAGTGGAACTGAAGTAACTATCCAGGGAAGGACTATTCAAATTGACAAATGTATCAGAAATACTAAAGATCAAAGAATGTTTTGATTTCACATAATGGAGATATTCAGATAAACAAACTACTTTCTGATGGAATACTTAAATTTCTAAGTATTCCATACATGTAATATTGTACAATACTACTATGTTGTACAAGTCTTATCCACAATACTTGGTAACACAATTTATACATGTGCTTCAAATTTGGAGAAGGAATGAATGTGAGGTGAAATGTAAATGAGTGTAGTGACACATTAGCATAAGTAAAGCACAAAATTTCTACTCACCACATCCCAGGACTCAAGTAATGGAATACTCTTGAGGAGAATCCCACGATCATTACAGTGAAAATCAAGATGAGCTCTTCCCTCAGCTCCTATTTGAGTAACTGCTACAATGGATAACAAATCCAGTTCATCTTCATAGTCCACAATCTTAAATGTCTTGGGAAAAACAAAAGCTCGAATATACATATCAGACATAACATTATTTTTCCTTCTCTCAGAATTCTATAGCTCTTTCCAGTGAAAGAAGAATTAGAACATGGAAAGAAAGTGTAGTTCAAGTCTTCTGACATCAAAGACTTTGTGAACCTGATATCCAGCAGGTATCCTTCCAAACACAAACTGTTCAGCGTATCACAACAAAATTCCTTATGATAGAGAAGAAAATGATGTTCTGAACACTCCTAACGTGCAAACGCATATATAACATGCGGGAAAGAGAATAAAAAATACATTGAAAATACTTTGAAAGTGACAGAAGAAATGTATCATTTAAACTCCGTAGTCTCCGCTGAAGCAAATGTGTTAGATTATGGTTTAAAACCATGGCCGATGAAAGGCTTTGCAATAAATGTTTCAATGAGATGTCTGAATGGAGAGTAATATTCTGTCACACCAACATTTAAATTCTGTGCCACTGAAGTTGCATGGAGCTATGACGGTGATTTCATAGGGCTTAAGCTCAGTTCTTACAAGAAAGAGAATATTCAAACCACAAATGCCAGCCAAAAAGAAAAGAGCAAAGTGAGAAGGAGGAAAGGAAGCAGTTAGAAGGTAAGACAAAGACAGCCAAAGACACAGGATGAAGAATACAAAGATTAACATAGGTAATGGTTCCAGCCATAGCACCTGAAGTCAGAATATCTTCTGGCCTGCTAAACTTCTTCAACAACCCATGATCCACTTTTCTTCACTACATAATAGTTACCTCTTGCTCTGGGTCATCATCTAGCAAATTATAACGTTTTTTCACCACTCGACCAGAAGCTGTTACAGTAACAGCGCTGTCCACCTTGGGAGAAAAAGAGACGGTCTGTTTCAGACCATAGCCTGTTTTAAATTGTTAATATCTATTTGACAAAGCATCTGTTTCATGAAAGTCTTCTTGATACCATTTTACTCACATATGGCTATGACTGGCTCTGTTGCTGCTATCACCATCTTACGAAGGCTCATGAACTTGGTGGCTGTAAGATACTACTGCTCTCTACTCTACTCTTGCTCAGAGATTCTCCGCCCTTTCAAGGTGTCAAAGATGCCAACTTCTCAGCTATTGTGAATTTTAGAAAAATAGAAGCTGAAGCTTGGCTGAAGCCAAAATGCTAAATGGTACCTAAGGCAGTTGTGTCATCACCAATTTGCTTCTTAAACTGTTCCAGAAGATGAGGAAAGTATCTTAACCACAGTTGTTTCTACTGGACACCACTAACACTGGAAACACTCAAAATTAGGATATCACTGTCTTAACAGAATTCACAAGGAAAAGCTACAGCACAGATACCATTAGAACTTGTATTTCTTAGCCATTATTCAAACAAAAATCATCTTTCCTAAACAAATCATAATAAAGACACTAAGTCATTAGCTGTCAAAGCTTATTTGTTCCAAATTCAGTAGAAGTTCTATTCCTAAGATAGTAAAGATTTTTAATACACATACTTTTCTTCTAAGGTAGTGTCAAAATTAGAATCACTACTATAAAGCAGTTACTTTTGTGTAAAAATACGATTTTGCATGCTAAAAAAAGTAACAGTCATACAGCAACAGTCTAGGCGCAGTCGTAAATTTTTCTTTGCAAGTTTGCTGCTTGACCTTTTCTGTTATTTAATCCTTTGTGCAATCTTCTATCCAAAAAGATATCATGACACAACTGAGATGATAAAACAGCTCATTTCTATCGAAATGCTCAGATCATCCCCTTGTTACTTTGTTCTACTTTCTGGACTCTTCTGACTCATTGATGATTCAGTTCTGGTCCATTTCAGCTTCAATTCAGCTCACCAAGACAGCAGCTGAGTACTCATCTTTTTTGCTGGACTATTCTGCTATTTTAGTGCACCAAATTGGCTCCCCCACGATTAGATGAGTGCCAAATGCGTCACAGGAGAGTGAAGGGTGCATGGTCAGAAGAATCATCCTTTCAGCAGCAACAATGTGCTGCCTTTGTTGTCTTATAAGCTTACCCGTGAGTAATAAGAGACTTGAAACATTTTGACCATTTGTATGATTATTCTAAAGACTTGACCAAAGTACCAGTGATGCACAGAATTCTCTCTTGCTGGCACCATCTGTTGAAGAAAATCTGTCACCAGCTTCTGAGCATGTTTTGACAATATCGGTGAACACACCATTATACGGTTCACTATAACGTTTTCTGAGAACTTAAAAGACTGAAGGCTTCAGAAAGCTATGCTGAAAATATAGGTCATTTTCAAAATTTCTCTCCTATCAGCTTAGTGGAAGTCCAAGGATTATTGAACCCCTTAGTCTCAATTAGGCTCACAGGATTTGGCTTATAAAACTTATATGCACAAACTCTTTGTGTACTCTCAAAAATCATACATTGAAATCCTGGATATTAGAAAATGCTGTTATAAACTCACACTATTTTCCCTGTTGGCCACAATCATAAAGTCTTCTGCAATTTCCATTTGACTTATATTATTTTCCACCTCCTTAAACTTCAAGACTCTGCAAAAGAAACAGAAGATACAAAATAAGTCATGTAATCTACCTGATACTATATTTCTATATTTATGATTAAAAAAACCCACACATTACAATATCAGAAATAAGTAGATTTGAAATAAATGTGAATTGAAAAAGTAATTTATGACATTTGAGAACAATGGTCCCAGCATATTATTCCTATCACAATCTAGTGTTGCCTGTTAGTATCCACATTTACCATGGAGAAATCTGCAGATGTTCCTATCAGAACTCCTGATTCTGACAAACTCACAAATTTTCCAGTGTCTAGGCGTTAATGACAGATCTTTCGCCTGCAGATGTTCAAACTGCTGAATTTATCTAGTTCTGTCCAGAAACTGTCTCTCACAAGCTTCAATATTCTGTGATGCATATCTATTGATATTACATAATATGCCAAATTTTCAGTAAGAATATATGAAAAAAACATAATACTCGGTTCAATAATCTGTCTCTGACAGAGATTATTTACAAATATTTAGCAAAAGACTGTAGAATGATACATGTGCAGAACAAACTGCTCCTGTTACTCAAGTTCTTACAGTCTGTAGTTTAATGATTTCTTCAGCCAGAGATTACATCTGGACAGCTTGTTCAGTAGCCACCCATCAGATGATCTCTTCTCCAAACTTTTACATCCATTGATATTTATTTGTTCAAGTCCATTTAACATTTTCAGAATAATAAACAGAAAACTACCGTTCTCTTTCCATCCCCATTCCTCCCTAACTTATCTTGCAAATGTGATCTTGGGATGTCAAAGAGTAGTATCACCTATCTGTATGGAAAGCAGTTCTCCCATTCTACTGATGGCCCATGGAACAAGCATATTCAGAGATTCTACATGGCCGTTAATTTATTTAATTTGAATTTAATTCAAATTGTCCATTTTTTTTCATATTGTACTGTCAAAGATGTCAACCTTCAAAGTAACAGAAGAGTGAAGTAAAAACCAAGAGCAGACAAGTTTGCTGGGCTTCCACCTATATTGTTTGAACACAGGAACATAGAACCCATCCAATTTTGCTTCGTTCTGCTGCTAATGGGAGGAAAAAAAAAAAGTCCCAATTCTTGAATTACCTGAATTCTTATCCAACTCCCTCTTGCTGCTAATTTTCTGCCTACTCTAAAATATATGTTTGTTTTAGTGCAAACACAGACACAGAAAATACAGAACCTCAAATACAATAAATTGCTAGGGGACAGCTGAGCATGGCACTGAGAAGCAATGGTTATCAGGGACCATAGGAAAAAAAGTAAGAAAAAAAGAAAAAAGGTTAATATCATGCAATATGACTTGATAATTCACAAGATTAAACCTGTATGAAGAATTAGAAAATACACAGCACCAGTTCAAAGTCCAGACTTGTAAAAGAGGTAAGGTTTCAAAATTGGGTTTAAGTGAATTTTTATAAAGGATGATGGAATGAAAAAAAAAATCCAGATTACTAGCATACAAGCAACAAGGCATTTATTTCACTGAAGCTTTTGCACATATCAGATTTTCAGAAGTAAAAATCATTGCTTAGATGCTACTCTTCATTAAAAAAAAAAAATGCAATGTGTTTTTCTTATGACAGTCAAAGTGTTCCAGCCCGAACAAGGAATTTCAGAAATAAACTCTGAATTCACAAATCAGTATGAGTAATAAAAACTTTACAAAGGGAACTTAGCAAGTTGAGTGATGTAGATGTAAGATATAACCTGTTCTTTCATAATTGTACTTACTCTCCATTGCCAAAAGGAGTCAATAAAATATATACTATTATAATTTACACACAAGGAACATGTTGAGTCAGAGAAGGCCATTTCTACACAAACACTTGAGTGCTGCAGAAAATACCCTGTCAATCTTGTGAACATCTCTGAAATTATGAGTTACCAATCACGAGTTACCCACCACTTGACTCACAGTAATTGTTCTTTCAGACAACCCTATCACATAAGAAATACATATTTAGGCAGTCTTTCTGGGAGCCAACTCTTTATTCCCCTAAAGATTTTCCATTATGCTGAGCATTATAAATATGAGCATTATACTTTTTCTCACGCACGCATCTGCATACACATGCGAACGGAAATCTGGAATCTGTTCCGACTCTTGATAATTCACGGAATTATGCTCCCTCCTATAAATCTATGCATGGGCATGTACATAATTATCAGATGTGCAAGTTCACATAGTTGTGCCAGAAGAACAGATTTTATATGATACTGTATACAATTTTTTTCTTAAAGACATTTCCCTGACCCAGCACCCCACCAACCATGGCAGTACTACTGTAACCTTTGTTTAACTCCCATATAATATTCTAAAATATAAATAGTTACTACAAGTTCACTAACTTCCTAACAAAAATAAAATTTGAGGAAAAAATGCTCATACTTTATCAAATTTGGTCCAGCGTGGATTATTCTACCTGACATATCTGGATGGAAATATATCCAATCGGGTTCCAGTGAACAGCATTTCATATCCTGTATGCCATTTTTTGCCTGAAGAAAGAAGGAAAAGCTTATAATATTAATATTCCAAAAGTCTCATAGATGTAATTGAAGAGGAAGTGCTTAGTTCCTCTCCACATGTATCTGAAGGATTACGAAGATTACTGGTAATTTGACCAGAAAGGATGGCAGTGGGACAATAATGAGAAAAACAGACTTGAACAGTTCCAATTCTAAAGAAACAAAGTTCAGCATTTGTTATTATATAACAACCAATGACTTTAGACATCTCCTCTTGCCTCTCCTAAAGTAACGGCACAATGAAGATTTAGCTTAGGCTCTGCAAACACTTCAACAGTTCTAGCAATGCAAGTTGTTTAACACCAGGCGCAGTCTCTTTTGTGCAAATATTTGCACTATGAGCAAGCCTGTGATAGTCTGTGATTTCAGCTGCTAACTGCTTAAAACTGCAAGATTTTCATAGTTTTTTTTGTTGTCGTTGAATTTGCCTGAACCTGATCATTCGAAATTTCAAATGCATGAACCCATACAAAAAAAATCAGGTGAAAAAAGGATTGCACAAGTATTTTTGAATCAAACCTCAGTTATGGTTGTGAAAAATCTGTTTTAAGATAAAAGCAACAGGAGAGAAAACACTGATTTGATCAAGCTAGTAAGAGATGAGGCATTCAGAAACGGTAAGTTTTTAATGAAAAATCCTGAACTGACAGACCTGAGAGCTGCCTTTATTACAGAAATATTTTCAAGTCAAATGCTGACCCAAAATAAAAGCTGAAATGAACAGCTGACAGAAAAGAATATATGATAAATAATAATTTAATAAAAATAAATACACCCAAGGTGGCTGGATTAAAGTAATGAAATATTTCAAGAAAAAAGGATAGAACCTAGTATAAACCATTCACAACAAGGAAACACACTTCAGTTTTTTTTAAGCTTGACACGTTTCCACAGTCATGCTATTTGGCAGGCTGACCGGTGAGAAGTGCAGTAAGATATCACCATGTAAGGAATTCAGGTGCAAGGATCTGCTTAAACCTTTACTTCTAAGCTGGGGGTACTGTGTTATATAGCACTGGCAATGCTAGGTCTGAATGAAGTATCAGAAGCAATCCTAACCAAACTAAAATATTTCAGAGATGACTGCACTGGATTGCAGATACAACACTGCTGGATGATCCCTATAAGAACACCGCACCAAAAAAGACACTGATTCTTCAAGCACTATTCAGAAGGAGAGATGAGGACAAACAAGATACATATGCATTTCAGAGAAGCTGCTGAATGTATTACCAAAGCCTTGTCTTTCAGAGAACAAATATGGAAGACTCCTTTATCTTTTTTCTTGTTAGGTGTGATGATATAATGCCAAGGGTAACCTCCAATTTGAAATGCATTCTCCAGGGAAGATACTTCAAATAGCAAAGGTGGGGTATCTGCAAATATTGGGTAATGTTAAGAGCGTTAGTAGCAGAACATTCATCATTTCATTGATCCTTACAATTCTAAATCCCAATAACATGACTAATTCTTCAGAACTTTTTAAGACTGAAACACCCAGGTAGCAATCATTTCCCTAGCACTGGCTATACCACATCACCTAGCACAGAGGGGTACATCCGCACTTCCCTAAGGAAGGTTACTGCCTTCTCACATCTCTGGGCTGAACTTCTCTTCTGAGGTCTTTGACTTATGTCATTCCACATGAGTTGGGTAAGCAGAGGCTTAGAGCACAATTAAAACTAATCCAGCATTTGAATGAAACAGGAGAAGGGACATTCATGTGGGCAGGTCAAAAAACAAATCTAGAGGAACATTGCGATCTTGGGAAACACAGGCTAACAGCAGCAACCTCTTCAGCTGGCAGCCAAAGCTGGCTTGGTGAAAAAGAATGAGACCAAACATCACATGTCATTACTTACCTGGGAGTTCACACGTATTTAGGAAATATAGTAGAAGAAATTTACAGAATTGAACACAGAAAGATTTCTGAATCTGAGTACTCCTTCCCTTTTTGTCTAACACTGCAAACAGCACGGAACATAATGAAATCAGTAGTGGAGTTCATAAAACAAAGAAACTTTTCTATTTAATGGCAAAAGGAATCTAGTTCTCCCTTTAATGCAATGGTAAAAATACACAGATAATGTGCCATTCTTACAAACCTTCTGTGTACCAAGCAAGAGAAGCATCTCTGAACAAAATCAACAACAGAGATTTAAAACTTTTATCAATTGGCTAAATTAAAAAATAACTTCTACAACTAAAACTGAGACCGAAAAATCATCTCTTTTTTTTAAACAGTGAAATGCTGGAGAAGAAAAATAATAATAATAAATAAATCTGTGACTACAAGAGGCATTTAAACAGGCAAGATATAAATATCCAAGCTGAAGTATTGTATGGAGGCCATGGTTCTCATCTGGTCTTCTGTGTTTGTAATTACTAAAATTAAGTCTTTTATCTTTATGTCTTCTGCCTGAAGATTCAATTTACAGTTATACTTTTCCTAGGAGGCCAACTGAAAGTTACTTATGGAACAGCCTGTATCACTCTGAAGTATCTTGAACTTTCCTGAAGGATTCATCCAGTTTTGACTTGTTCTTGTCCTGCTTATTCTGTATAGTTAGCCAGACCATAACTGATGATGTTAAGATGTCACATCACATCAGAACTTATATTTACATAGTGCTTCTCTCTTTTACCTTCATTCTTATTTCAAGATTTTTAGCCAGTTAGATTTGAAGCAAATTAGTTTGCCCATTGCAAAGTCTTTTCTGAGCTGCAATATGCCTGTCTTCTCATTCTCTCTTGGACTAGCACGTAGGAAATCAAAAACCATGAAGGGTGTAGCAAAGTACCATTTATGAAAACTGAAACATCTGCAGAAATTTGGAGAATGCTGAGGATGAAAGCATTAAGAAAGATCTACAGCTGTTAAAACTGGTCAGAAAATGAAAAATAAGTCAGGCAATTTTGTTAATATTTCAGCCCATGGGCTTTTTAAATAAAAAATATATAGTAAGGACTCTCAAAAATTCTGGTATATGAACTAAGCAAGGGATTTTAAATCCATTTCAATCGATTTCAAATTTAATGAAAAGATACATCTTTTTGATGCTCATTTGACAAAGATTTCTAAGGTCATAGTCACCTAGCCCACTGCTATAGCCAAAACTCTGCTGCCAAAATGCGTTATTTCCTCGTATGTGATACTTGTTCTTGCCGCTCAATAGGTGAATACTGTTATTAATCCTAAATCCCTTGCAATGCCAATTGGCAATTTGCAGTTGAGTCCCTCTGTTCATTTCCTTAAAATCTCTTCCAGCCTCTAAACATAAAGCCAAGTTGCTCCTGGCAGTACTAACTTGCATTTGTTCTAAATGTGGGAAAAAATGAGCAAAATATATTCCTCTTCATCCTATTTAAAACCATTGAATCTTTTAATAATATCGCAAACTACAATTTTAAATTATTGACCTTTCAGAAAGTGACATTATGGTTTTACGACCATAATGATTTACAGTTACCTTTTTCATTCTTTCGACTGTGACCAAAGTCAAAGTCAGCAATAACTAAAACTCCCTACCAGTCAATAGCTGCTTGGGAACCTACATGCTTTGATCTTATACATTTCCTCTTGGGGACCTATCACACCATAAAAACAGCACCATAACTATTGTCACTCTTTCTGTCAATTTCTGTAGATAGCCTAGGACTAAATAAGCAGGAAAATCACAAACAGTTAAATTACAGTAAGTGTAAGCTTAAACTCTGCAACTGTTAAAAGCTCCCTCACTGAAGGGGTTACATGATGATGAATATTCAGTCAGCCATCTCATTCTTAAAAGAAAACAACTCAAAAACCACAGGAATGCAACTATCGGAAACAGCAGCGACGGAAAATGTTTGTCATTAACTTCAAGACTTCCTAACTACAAATTCTTCAATACAATTCAAGATCAAAAACATTCTTCCACAATACTTTGACTTTAAACTGAAGTCTGAAAATAACAATGATTCATAAGAACTGAAAAATACCTGGTATCAGCTGCCTTTTAAAGCTGCCATAGCATGTTTTCCGCAGGGCCCCTAACACTAAATTATGGTTTAACCAGACTGAGACAGAGAGAAAAATGAACAGAAACATGCCTTTGCAGGACACAAGACACAGATCATAGCTCCCTCTCTTTGTTTTGATAATGCATTGCATTTTAAGTGAAAGCATTAGCTGTCTTAAGTCTGTATTTTGTGTACCCTCCATTTAATATAAATCTGGTTTCGTTTCACTGCTATATACCGACTCTGTGAACAAAAAGATCAACTTTTTTTTTTTTTTTTACAAGGATGTTCGCTTGTAAAAAATAATATTTAACTGAGAAACATCCGAAGATTAAAAAAAGGCATGCAGATTTGATATAGATGAACCAGCATTTATCAAAGCACATAAATGTGAATTTGCAGGAATGTGCTTTCAAAGGAAAAAATGTTTCATACGGAGTCTTGGTCTTTGGTCAATCATTGAGATTCTTAGTACAACATTCTAAATCTCAAATGCACCATGAAACATGACTGTTTGGTTGTTTGGCTTCAGAGAAATTAACCAAGTCTCTAAAATAACAGACAACATTCATAAGTTGATGATGTGAGACATAGGAATTGTTTTCAGAGATGATCTTGAGGGCTGAATTTATTTGCAACAAGTAGAATAATCAAAATGCAAACATGACAAATTATATTCTGTCTCCTTGAATTCCTTCTGCAGTTTGTCTCGTGTCTTATGCTTAAAAGTGTACCATATTTTTAATGGGTTTACATAACAGTTGTCCTAAGCCTCTCTTGCCTCCCAGAGTGGCTGCGTCTCAAGAACAAGTAAGGGGATTCTGCTTCAGTGCTTTAAATATTTCAAATAGTTTATTTTCTCTTCCAGTTTTATAGGCAAGCCCTATTTAATTAATTGTTGCAATTAGAAGAAAAGCACCTTTTTATATATAATGTAAAACCTGAAGTAGAGTCACTAAACAATTAAGAGTACAACAATTTTAATGTTCCTTGGTGTGAAATAGTCATAAATAAACTATAAAAGCCACCAGCCAGGATAAAACAAAGATCACAAATACCTGTTATTTTAATGTTACACGGAAGACCAAACGGATACTTTCCTACAATTCCCACTTGACCATTCCAGTTGAATTCGTATCCCAAATCAAACGGCTCTTCCATGAACTATAATAATGCACAACAATTTAGTTTTATTGAAATATATTTACTTACTGTTCAGTTTTACTGCTTCATTGTTACTGCATTTATTAATTTCCTCCGGAAGTTTTATTTTGGAATTAACATCAGCTTTTTATTGGAAAATATATATATATATATAAACTCAAGTCTCACTGCAAATCTATTTCAAGAAAAAAAAAAAAAAAAGAGAGAGAGAGATCTTCCATGTCTATCAGTTTGTAAATTTAACACTTTATCCTGCAATTATGGAGTAGGTGAGCAAAGACCAGCACACTCTGCTTTGGTATTTTATTTTCATGGCATGCACCCATGTGGATATGAATATTAATATTAATGTCCTGTTGCCCCCAAACAGTGTGACCTTTATGAAAAAATCCAGTTTCATTACCTTTTCAGAGATGGCCTGGAAGTTATAGAGCCTGACCAGACCCATACTATGCATTATGATCAGGACTCCATTAGAAACAGCAACATCTGTCACACTATTTCCAAATATCTGGAAAAAGGAAGAGAAAAATATTCTATTAGGGAAGACATCATTGAGAGGTGATAAAAGATACTGAGATTACTTTCTTAATTTTGCAATCACTTTCATTTTTTGACTATAACCAAAACTGATGGCAAGTGTTTTAGTGGCAGAAGGCTCTTATAGCTCATCTAGGTTCTTGTGAGATTCTGTAATACTTGGCACTACAGTAACACCTCAAGTTAGATAAATCACCCCCTTGTAAGCACATTCATTCTCCTATTAAGTCTCAGTATGTCTCCAAATCATGTTACCCAGTTATGGCAATACATGAATAGATGATATTACCCAGCATCCCACAGATAGTCAATAGCAAAGCTAACACTTCAATCTGAAAATACTGATTTCGCATCCTCTGTTCTTTCTTCATCACCAGGGGAAAATACAAGCCTAATCATGGCTCTGTGACTGCACACAGCTGCAGTAAAACTACATTATCCAGCTGTCAGAACACAGAATCCTCTGCTGAATCCCAATTAGACACAAGCATGGGACACTGACTACCCCCTTCAATGATTACGCTGTATTCATTTTTGCTAGTGCTTAGCACATCTCCACTGAAAAAAAGACAAGCAATTCTTAATATTTAATGAATAACACATGAAGATTGTAGAGTTCTTTTTATAAAAAGAAATTTGGAGCAGTTTTTACTTCTTAGTTGGAATTATTATGCAGAAATTAAAACAGCATTAAAGGATACAAAACAAACAAAAAGGTGAAATATTCCTAAATCTAACATTGTCAGCAATCTTGTGATCAGTTTGGTCTTGAGATTAAAATGTACTTCTGAAACTCTGACCTTTTATTTAGTCTTGTGTCTCTTTCTCAATGTATTTGTTAGCTTAAAACAGTCTTCTCATCTCGAACTCCTATACCTGAGAACTTATTGCTTAGTACTTATTGCACATTCTTCTCAGTAAAAATGTTGTATAGCTGCATTCTACAATCCTGAATGCTAAACTTAATTCTAACTTGAACAGCAACAGCTTTATTCCAGGAACAGTTAAAGACAAAAAAAGTAAATGTATAGTTGAAAACTTAGCTGTAACTAGGCTTTTTATTAAGCTAGCAGTTCTGTCTCAGTAAGACATTTTTAAGCATAAGTCCTAACCATGCTTACAGTACAGTAATCACTGCGAGCCCAAAACATAAATGTCTATTGAAAATCTAGCTGGTATAAGCCACACATGCAGCCTCTTCTCAAGAAATTTGTAAGCTCAGAGGCTGAATTCATCTAAATTTAAGTATTTGCCCCAAATCTATTTGACAGCATAGACCTCTGCAGTACCAAAATTTTAGAAGTCCGTACCCGATCCCTTTCCAATCCTTGGTCTGACAGCCTTATCAAGTCAAAATGAACACTTTGGATGTTCTCATTTTCCAGTTCTGAGCTCTCACCCTAACCAAAGGGCTAACACAAAGCTCAATAATAAAGTATGGGAAAACAAATGTATTACTAAGATCTAAAGTAGTCCAAATGCAAGTCTTGAGTCCTGTAGCCCCATTTAATTTTTCTTTCCTTCTTAAATAAAATTAGAATTGAAATTACGATAAATTTGGGAAATTCAGATTTGAGAGTACCCCCAGGATACAGTAACATTTACTCTAGTGACCAGTATAGGGGCAGATGAAAACATACTTTTATACATTGCTTGTACTACATTCATGATGAATTTGGTATCTCATTTGTAATCAGATTGAGAGTATCTTTGATACTGGTAAAAATTTTTGTTTTCCAATCCTAACCTGCTGGCAACTCTGGATCCCAAATGAAACTGTAGCTCACAGAGCCTTCACACCACCAGCCTAGACAGAGCCTGAACATTTGTACTCTACCATTTATAAGTTGCATCCAGAACTTTTTGGACCTAAAGTATATCTGCTTTTTCCACTGGAACCATTGGACTTGCCCTCCAGCTTGAGACTCCTCATGTACATATTCCTCTTTTCAGTTTACAAACCAAACTTAAAAACTTAGGAAGTCTCCCCTCTGTTTATAAAGCAAGACACGTTTACCTTTAATTTTGTTTCCATATAATGATTTGTCACTGTATACAGACTTCAGAGACTATTATTACAAGTAGATACAGAAGCATATCTATCTTTCTTTAAGAGGGGGGAAAAAAAAAAAAAAAAAAAAGGTCTGCAACAAATTCTATTTCCCTAATTTTTATAGATATCTAATTCTTATGATTCCTGTAAGCAAAGGCTATTTAAAAGTGTTTCTGCACGTAAAGGAACAGCCCGGTAATTGAATGCACACATAATTTCTGGTTTGGCCTTTCTGAGTTAAGGCTCTTTTTCATTCTCTATCAGACACAAAAAGGGCATTACTCTTCATTAACATTTCTGGACACTAGGCCTTTTTAAGCTTATGAATAACCTTTGCAATACTGGAACACTCACCTAGGCCATACCCGTCATACAATATAGTAAAGACCACAGTTAATAGAGGAATTAACTTACCTTTTTGTTTATTTCTAGCATTCCAATAAATGAAAGGGGTAAAACTTGGAATAGAGCAAGATGGAACAATACAGACTGTTGGATGCCTGCCTGGGAAGGAACAACACTGAATTATTCTTTAGGCAATTAGTAGCCATTGGCTATTTTCATCATCTAGCATAAGAGAGCACAGTATCTCCATACCCGTAAATTTTTTGATTCATTTGTAAATATTTAACAATAACAGATTATTTTTCAAAAAACCCACCTGCCGTGCAGCTGCAGGTAGCTTATTCTGAGCTGACTTTATAACCATTACCTCTTGAGGAGTATCCCAGCTCAGGTATCTATTTGTGAGAAGAGGGAAGGCAAAATATAAAATCATCTAATAAGAAATACAGTATTTTACATAAAATATAATCTGTTAGAACTAGGCAGATATCAGTGTCCAGGCAAACTTTATTCAGTACCTGACCTGGGAGAAGTACCCAAGATGTTGAAGGCCTGTAACTATGCAAAAGTAATGGAACTACATACCAGAAATGGGATATTTCACATGTGATCATGAGAAAACTTCCAAATATATTAGCTGTTGTAATTTTTCTCCTTTCATAATTCACTTTTTTTTTTTAATCCTTCAGCCTAAGAGGAGATAATTTCTTCTGATAAGTGGGAAAAAAACCTACCCACCACCTATGCAGTTTAGCAGAAGCAGCAACTGCTCTGCTTTTAAACAACAAAAATGGATACCGTATGGAGAGGAATACTCCTAGGTTAAAAAGTGCATACTAATAATTGTTACTTACATAAACTCAATGTTTAATACCTGAATTTGCAACAGGAACCAGCAAGGTATATTTTTTCCAGTATCTCTCCACTATCAGCCGAAAGACGTAGAAGCCAGTTCTGAGCTGTTAAGACTACCAGGGAAGATTTATAGTCCGATGGACTTGGCAGTGTCTCCCCCTACATAACAGAAGTTTATCAGAGGTTAAAAAAAAAAAAAAAAGCCTTACATCAGGACTATATATAACATTTTAACACAATAATAAGAAAACAAAAGTGAACACACATTCCAAAAACTAAAGATCAGGATATCTAAGCTCATGTTGGTGCTAAATTACTTTTTAAAACTTTCTTCCCCTGTACAAATAATTACAAGTATAACTGCTTATGGATCTAACTGATATCAGTCTTCATGAAAAAATAGTCAATGCAAGAATCACAGAATAAAATTACTCAACAGCAACTGCCCAGCCTTGGGATACATCTAAACTCTTGCTAATTCAAAAATAAATTAAAACAAACAAACAAAACAAAAAAACAGAATTTGCATTGTAAGGAATTAGAACCGAGTTGCACAAGAATAAGGCACTGTTTTTTAAATCTTCCACAGACCACCATGTAAAAGCATTCAAATATGCTGTTGAGAAATTTAAATAAGTGAAATATGTATCAGCAGGGAAGCATACCTCTCAATTAAAATAATCAATCATGTATTTTAAACCTTAAAAGACCTTAAAAACCTCTAAGCTGTTGAAAAACAATTCACAAGGAGACTCTTTTTTTTTTTTTAATTGGAAGATACTAATTTGCATTTGCAGAACAATAGTAATCTTACCAGTGGGCATTCCAATAATAAAGCATCTTCTATTTTTTCTGATTTAGGAGACTTTGGCTTTTGGTATAGTATTCTTGGCTCTTGTGCAATGCTGGAGGAAAATGATTGCTTATAATTAATCTACTTTATTAACTATTTTCATATGCTTTTATAAAACTTCTGTTCTCCTGTTCCTGTTCTCCTCAGGAAAGCCACAATTCTAAACTATTTCTTTTTACAAGTATCACACAAAACTGTTCTCAAAATACAGCATAAAAATTATTAGTATAAAATAGTATTTAAAAGCTAAACTTTTCTGTCTTGGGGGGCCATTTTTGTAATGAAAGGCTTTAGAGTAACATCTTTACTTTAATGATATGAATTCTCACTTTAATGATATGAAATGCTTCTTGCCTCACCAGAGATAGAGGCAAGAAGTGGTTTGGGCTTCCCATCCATGGGCCTGCCTGTGCTGCCCCCAAGCTCCAACCCTGCGGCTGCGTGGGGACCAGGAGAGTGCAGTGAAGCTGCACTGACTTGCAAATTACACAGTAACTGCAAGCATTCCGCAAACTGTGCCTTTAAGTGAACAGTGATTTGATTTAATGCAGAATTTATAAACTGATTTTGTGACACATCCTTTAGGACCCAGTGGAGGCAACTCCTGGTCACTGCCTTTTACTGGAAATTCGACAGTGCTGACTAATTAAAGGTAGACTTATGCACCTGGTTATTTTCTGGTTCACACAAGACTTATCTCAATTTGTAGGAGCTATCTGGATGAGTAAAGTTAGTCGCATACCTAGATCAGAAATTCAGAGTTAAACTATAAGCCCATTACCTGCTAATACAGCACCGGTAATTGTCAAAGTAAATTCTTCCTCTTTCATAAGCAATAGGAGATGTAGAATGAGTTGTCCAAACATTCTTGAATTTAGTACTTTCCTGAAACAGATAGTGACCATAACAGTGAAGGCTTCAGAACAAACCAGGCTTTTGGAAAATATTTCACTAAGATCCTGCATCTTAAGAATTTACTTTAGTTGAACTTACGCTTCTGAATGCATACGGGAATCAATCAATCAATCAATGAATAAATCAATCAATAAGATGTTGGATTTGTTTGCTTTACGAGCGCTCCTGCCGCTCCTCCCGCGGGGTTGGCTCCCGGCTCCCAGCTCCCGCTCCCGCCCGCGGCTGCCCCCGCCCGCCCGCCGCCCCTACCTGGC